GACGTCGACGACTACGACTACTACTACGACATTACTACTACTACTACTACTACTACTACTACTACTACTACTACTACTACTACTACTACTACTACTACGACTACGACTACGACTACTACTACTACTACTACTACTACCACTACTACTACTACTACTACTACTACTACTACTACTACTACTACTACTACTACTACTTCTACTGCGGCTGCGGCTGCTTTTCTCTCTACCCCTCGCATGCTGAGTGGGTTTCTGGCTTTCTCTATTCCCGCGTCGCACCGGCGTCTGGTTATTCTCTTCCAATCCTCCTCCTTCTCTCGCCGTGCGCTCGCACCACACACACACCACGCACATTACGAGCCCCCCCCCAGACAAACACACACACACACACACGCACACACACACACACCAGGCACACACCAGGCAACACAACGCCACATGCACCACACCACAAACAACATACACACATCACACAACAGACATGCACCATGCTCGGATTCCCGCAGGCGTACCAGGCTTGCTCGCATGGCGTGCCAGGCGTTGCTTCTTCTCGGCACCACAAGCGGGGTGCGCAAGGGGTGATACTTCAGTGCGGACTCTATCCATGACGCGCTCGCAGGGCGTGGCAGGGGGTGGCACCTCCTCGACACCAGAGGGGCGCAGGGGGTGGTCCCTCAGCGCGGCCTCTACTAGTGACGCGCTCGCACGTAGCTGCTGCTGGTCACCAAGGCCAAAACCTACAGAAGCACCCGTTCTCACACCCATCTCTCCACCGGACAATGACCTTTTCAGTTCTCGCCGAAAAGTTGGGCATACAAGCCATGATTGCCCACCGTGTTCATCGCACGCGTCGTGGTCGTCGTTGTCGGTGCTCACAGCTTGACCCCCTCCTCCCCCAACCCCATCTCGAAGCCCGCCAGGCGACGGAGCAGACTGCGGCCGTCGCCGAGGCGGGCGAGGAGGTGCAGAGCTCTGGCGTGACAGCGAATGTGACAGAGGAGCCGGCTGCCGCCGCCGCGGCGCAGCTCAGCGACGACGAGCACAACGCGACTGGACCCGCAGATGAGGCCCAAACCTCAGCCGCGGAGGCGAGCGTGACAGAGGAGCCGGCTGCCGCTGTCGAGGCGCAGCTCAGTGACGACAAGCGCAACGCCACGGAGGCGAGCGTGACAGAGGAGCCGGCTGCCGCTGTCGAGGCGCAGCCCGGTGACGACGAGCGCAACGCCACGGAGGCGAGCGTGACAGAGGAGCCGGCTGCCGCTGTCGAGGCGCAGCCCGGTGACGACGAGCGCAACGCCGCGGAGGCGAATGTGACAGAGGAGCCTGCTGCCGCAGTCGAGGCGCAGCTCGGTGACGACGAGCGCAACGCCGCGGAGGCGAGCGTGACAGAGGAGCCGGCTGCCGCTGTCGAGGCGCAGCCCGGTGACGACGAGCGCAACGCCGCGGAGGCGAGCGTGACAGAGCAGCCGGCTGCCGCTGTCGAGGCGCAGCTCAGTGACGACAAGCGCAACGCCACGGAGGCGAGCGTGACAGAGGAGCCTGCTGCCGCTGTCGAGGCGCAGCTCAGTGACGACAAGCGCAACGCCACGGAGGCGAGCGTGACAGAGGAGCCGGCTGCCGCTGTCGAGGCGCAGCTCAGTGACGACAAGCGCAACGCCACGGAGGCGAGCGTGACAGAGGAGCCGGCTGCCGCTGTCGAGGCGCAGCCCGGTGACGACGAGCGCAACGCCGCGGAGGCGAATGTGACAGAGGAGCCTGCTGCCGCTGTCGAGGCGCAGCTCGGTGACGACGAGCGCAACGCCGCGGAGGCGAGCGTGACAGAGGAGCCGGCTGCCGCTGTCGAGGCGCAGCCCAGTGACGACGAGCGCAACGCCGCGGAGGCGAGCGTGACAGAGGAGCCTGCTGCCGCTGTCGAGGCGCAGCTCGGTGACGACGAGCGCAACGCCGCGGAGGCGAGCGTGACAGAGGAGCCGGCAGCCGCTGTCGAGGCGCAGCTCAGTGACGACGAGCGCAACGCCGCGGAGGCGAGCGTGACAGAGGAGCCTGCTGCCGCTGTCGAGGCTCAGCTCAGTGACGACGAGCAGAAGGCCGCGGCTCCCGGTGACAAAACTGATCAGAAAAGTGGCTCCGCAGTGAGAGGACGTTGGACCGTCATTCGGGACAGAATCAGGCAGAGTCAGGCAGGCATTCGAGACAGAGTTCGTGGCGTTTTCGGCAGAGGCACTTCCACTGTGGACAAGGAGGCTGAGATGGAGGCACGTATTCGTGAGCACATCATGCGCGACCTGGGCATGGAGAAAGTGCAGAGGACTTCGGCTGCTCCCACAGTCGAGGCAGCGCCGGCCGTGTACACTGTGGACAAGGAGGCTGAGGTGGAGGCACGCATTCGTGAGCACATCATGCGCGACCTGGGCGTGGAGAAAGTGCAGACGACTTCGGCTGCCCCCCCAGTCGAGGCAGCGCCAGCCGCGTCCATTGTGGACCAGAAGGCGCAGATGGAGGCCCGCATTCGGGAGAAAGTTCTGCGCGACCTGGCCGTGGCGCAAGCGCAGGCCACCACAGCTGCTCCCCCCGTCACGGCAGCGCCGGCCGCGTCCACCGTGGACTCCAAGGAGCACACTGAGGCCCTCCTTCGGGAGAAGATCCTGCGCGACCTGGGCGTGGAGAAAGTGCAGACGACTTCGTCTGCCCCCCCCGTCGAGGCAGCGCCAGCAGCGTCCATTGTGGACGAGGAGGCGCAGATGGAGGCCCGCGTTCGGGAGAAAGTCAAGAAAGTTCTGCGCGACCTGGCCGTGGCGCAGGCGCAGGCGACCACAGCTGCTCCCCCCGTCACAGCAGCGCCGGCTGCGTCCACCGTGTACTCCAAGGAGCACATTGAGGCCCTCCTTCGGGAGAAGATCCTGCGCGACCTGGGCGTGGAGAAAGTGCAGACGACTTCGTCTGCCCCCCCCGTCGAGGCAGCGCCAGCCGCGTCCATTGTGGACCAGAAGGCGCAGATGGAGGCCCGCATTCGGGAGAAAGTTCTGCGCGACCTGGCCGTGGCGCAGGCGCAGGCGACCACAGCTGCCCCCCCCGTCACGGCAGCGCCGGCCGCCGCCACCGTGGACTCCAAGGAGCACGTTGAGGCCCTCCTTCGGGAGAAGGTCCTGCGTGACCTCGGCGTGGCGAAGGTTGGCTCCGAGACGTCGCAGAAGCAGGACGGATGCGGAGAACGGAAAAGACGGAGGGTATGGGTCGGGGATCTAGACCGAGGGGGGGAGGGGCGGAGGGGGATGAGAATGGCGAGGCGAAGGAGGATGGGGAGGAGGTGTCGGAGGGGCATGAGGAGGGAGGAGGGAGGAAGAGACGCAGTGGAATGAAGAGGGAGGGGCGGAGGGGGAAAAGGAGGAGATGGAGCCGGAGGTGGTAGGAAGATGGAGGAGGAGGGGTCGGAGGAGCAGGAAGAGGAGGAGGGAGGTGGAGGGAGGAGGGAGACGAGAAGGAGGAATCGGGAGGTTGAGGGCGGGCAACGGAAGGAGAGGGAGGAGCATGAGTCGAGGCATTTGGAGACGGTGTAGGAAGAGAGGGGTGCTGATGAAACGGAGGAGCGGGAGAAGGTGGTGGGGGAGGAGGGGCAGGAAGAACAGGATCATAAGGAGCAGAAGGAGGGTGTAGCCAGGAGTCTTGGGAGAAGCCGTAGGAATCTGAAGATATAGAGAGGCTTCACGAGTTATACATGAACTGGAAGAGTTGGAGGAGGAGGGGGAGGAGGAAGAAGAGGAGGTGGCGGAGGCCGAAGAGGTCACGACTGGGGGGTAAGAGGACGAGGAGGAGCAGGAGTAAGAAGAGGGCGAGGAGAAAGGAAAAGCATGAGCGGGAGGAGGAGAAGCAGCAGCTGCAGAAGCAGCAGCAGGAGGAGGACGAGTTGGAAGACGATGATACACAGAAGGATCATGGGGAGTGGTGGTTATAAGTGAGTCTACCTGTCGGTCCGCGGTCCTAGTGCGGTGCTGCTCTTAGTGCGGTGGGGGCGTTGGTTAAGGAAAGCGTCCAGGAGGCTTCATACCCTGGGGGGATTCCTGGTCGGATGCGGGCGGCAGTGGTTTCCATGGCCAGTCCACGATTGGAGTCCCACTGGCTCCCAGACCCTGGATTCCTCATCCAGTGATTCCTCATCCAATGCCCCCTCAGCGCAGCGCCGCCAGATTGCAGCCATTGCCACATAGGCGTCCTGCCGAGTCCGCACGTCGGGGATGCTGCCGCCTGCGATTCGGGGGGAGCGCGGAGATGTTGGCAAGCTCTTGGGCCCCGCATGGGCGCCGACCCCACCCCAACGCGGCCCCCGGTCCTGCGCCTCCGAACTCGCCGCCGACGTTGGAACCTCGGCCCCCGCGAGCGCTCACCTCGGCGGGGGCCGACAGGACGCCCAGACGCGCGAGCTCCTCGATCAGCAGCTGCAGCACCAGGCCCCGGCCACCGCCGCCCCTGCGGGCACCGAGACGCCCGCCGACGCGGCTGCGAGGCTCAAGGCCGAGGCGCTGGAGGAGCTCTCGGAGTCCTCCTCCTCCCGCCCGTGCTCCCGCGGGCATCCTCCATCCCCCCTCCCTCCCTTCGCCCTCCTCTCGCCCCTGTCCCCCTCCCCCCCCCCTCCTCTGGCCTCCACCCCGCCTCGCTCCTCCCTGCCGCTCCCCTAGGTGATATAGCGCTTCTCCCGCAGCCGCGCCGAGGTCCCCGGGCCGGAGCCCCCCGGGCCCCTGGCCTGCAGGCCCGGCGCCAGGCGCCATATGGGCGACTCGCGCCCGCGATCTCAGGCGTCGAGGAACTTCTCTCGCCGGCGGCCAGGCAGAGTCTCACTGCGCTGGCGGGGAAGCGAAGCGGGGCTGCCGTGGAGGGAGTGGTGCCACCGTGCAGGAGGAGGGGGGGAAGACGACGCAGCGAGACGGGCCGATGGGAGGAAGGAGCGGGACGGGGCCGCTCAGGGGAACGCGTCGTGCCCCGGCGCGCGTGGCGCGTCAGGCGCGGAGGAGCAAGAGACGCCATGAGCAACAACGGTTGGCGCTCCGCGCGGAGTTCTCGGATCCGCGCTGGGCCCCCCCGGCGGCGCCTCTGGCGCGCTCCGCGCGCCAGGGAGGGGGGTCCAGCGAAGACCCGAGAGATCCCCAGGGACCTCCAAAGCTTACTGTATATATGTTTACATGCGATTGTTGTTCCTTCCTCTGAGGCGATCTTTCCCCCCTAATCCCCGAGTTCCGCCTGGAAAATTCGGCCGCTCAGCAAAAGGGGGGGAGCCTGGGATGCGCCCCACGGGGGCTACTCGGGCGCAACCAACCCTGCCGAGGAGGATGGGTGCCACCCCATCGCATGTCCCAGGGCTGCGGGCCCCGCATTTCTGGTCCAGCCGAAAACCCAACGACGCCTGGGACAGGGGTCGACCTCTCCCCCGTGACAAGGGCTGGCACGAGGGCCTTCTTCGCAGGCCCCGTGCCCTCTCAGACGGCCCCCGCCCCCCTCGCGCCGGCCCCCCCACGGTGTGCTCCACCAGCCCTGGCCACGTGCCGCTTCTGTCAAGTTGGAGGAGGAGGAGGAGGAGGAGGAGGAGGAGGGGGAGGAGGAGGAGGAGGAGGAGAAGGAGAAGGAGGAGGAGGGGGAAGAGGGATGATGATGCTGATGATGATGATGAGGAGGAGGAGGAGGAGGAGGAGGAGGAGAAAAAAGACTAGGAGGGATGAGGAGGAGGAGGAGGAGCAGGAGGAGGAGGAGCAGGAGGAGGAGGAGGAGGAGGAGGAGGAGGAGGAGGAGGAAGAGGGAGGAGAAGGAGGAGGCCCCTCGCTAGGCCAGTCCTTTTGGCCGTCGTCCCTGCCCTCATCGCCGTTGTGGCCGTCGGCGGTCGAGGTCGCCATAAGTCGACCTGCTCATGGCTGACCCCCTCCTTGTCGTCGTGGCTCCTCTCCTCGTCGTCGCCGTCGTTTGTCGTCGTCGTCGTCGCTCGTTGTTGACATGGTCGTCTCTCGTCGTCGTGTTCACTCGCCGCTCTCGTCTCACCGAGCGCTTTCCATCAAGGGCGTAAAAAACGCCCCTACCCTGGTTTATGAGGCGCTGTGCGCTGAACCTCCTGTGGGCTGACAGAGTGAACCCTGCGTATCGCGCGTGCCGCGCGGCGTCCTGGCGACTCGCTGGCCGGTGAGAGTTCCCAGGAGGTTTACTGACCACGCACTTGTAACCCAGGGTAGGGGCGTTTTTTTCATTCCTAAATTCCACTACTCGCAAAGGGCCTACTCGCAAACGTCTGAACAAACACATGTCTTCTCTACGTAACGGATCGTAGATCCCTCGTGGCGGATCCAGACCATTTGCGAGCAGCTACTTTGCGAGTAGTGGAACGCGCCTGTCCAGCGTCTCTTGTCGACATCAGCACAACTGCTCATCGCCGCTCGGCACCCGTCTTCGTCAATCGTCGCCGTCACGTGTCGTAATAGTCATCATCTGTTGTCGTTGCTGCCGTCGTCGTTGTCGTCGTCCTCGCTGGGCACTCATCGTCAACCCTCATATTTCGTTGTCGTCGTCCTCATATTTCGTTTGATCGACGTAGCTTGTTGTCGTCGTCGTCGTCCTTGCTCCTCGAAGTATGTCTTCATCGTCGCCGCAGGTCGTCGTCGTCGCTGGTCGTCGTCATCGTCGACATCGTTACGCGTCGCCGTCGTTGCCGCCACTTGTGGTCCTCCCACGCTCATCGTCGTCACTTGTAGCCGTCACGTCTTTGATCGTTGCCGTTGTCATCGTGGTCGCTTGTCGTTATCATCGATGTCACCGATGCCTTTGACGTCGAAATTCGTCGCTGTCGTCGTCGTCCGTGGCCTCCGTCGCCAACCGCCTGCCCGACCCACCCCGACCCGCCCCGCCCCCGGACGTCAGGGTCTTGAGCCCCATCACCCGATTCAATCCCACCGCCCGCACGACCGCCCGACCCGCCTGTCAGCGCCCGCCTGCTCCGCCCGCCCGACCCGCCCACTGAGGGGCCTGCCCACCCGGCCCGCCCGCTGGAGTCCGCTCGCTCGCCGGGGAGCCCACCCGCTCGCCGTGATCTCCCGCCCGCCCAGCCCGCCCGTCAGTGTCCGCCCGCCTGCCCGGCCCCCCCCCCCCTTTCGGGTGATGATGGGGTGCGCCAGGGGGCGCTTCTCCAGCGTCTCGCCCTCCTGCAGACCCCTCTCGAGCTCCGCCCTAGCTTCCCCCCATCTCTTCCTTTCTTGTCCTCCCTGTTCTGCTCCTCCTGCTCCTCCTTGTCCTCCTGGCTCTCCTCCTCAGCCCGTGCCCGGGGCCGGGTTGGGGACTGTTCGTGTTCTTTGCAAGACCAGCGGGGGTGCGCAGCATGCAGGAGGAGACCCCGAGGAGTCACTGGCCAGCACACAGACCGTCAAGCGGTCGTAAACCCCATTTAGAGCATGTCTTGGTAGATGGGGAGGAGGGAGGAGGAGGAGGAGGAGGCGGAGGAGGAGGAGGAGGAGGAGGAGGAGGAGGAGGAGGAGGAGGGAGGAGGAGGAGGAGGCGGAGGAGGAGGAGGAGGAGGAGGAGGAAGACAGGGATCAGAGTAAGGACGAGGAGGAGTGAACAGGGCATGCTAGTGATGCCAACAAAACGAGCCGTTATACTTCTGTCTGCCGGTTAAGGCATCGCACAACCGATACCAGGTTGACTCCTGTATGACAGTTGAGAACGCAACCACTGGCGCATTGCCGGGATATTTGTTTTCGGCCGCCAAGAGCGCAATGTATGGCGCAACCAGTAGCAGGCTGGCATGCTGGACAGCTGGTTGCACAGCAACCAACAGCCGGCCATCCGATGCTCGATCGCCGAGATCACGACCTATTGCACACGCAATCACAGTTTGGTTTGGTACGTCCAGCCTCTGGGATCGCAACTTATGGCGTGAGCAATCGCAGGCTATTATGCTTTCTGCCACGCAATATTTGGCACAACCAATGAGCGTGTCCGTTCAATGCAACCGACGACGGCGCAACCTATGGGGTCACCCATTGCACAGCCAATGGAGCAACCCATGGATGGGGCAACCTTTGGCGCACCCATTGGTGGCGCCACCCACGGCATGACCCATGGATGCCGCAACTTGTGGTTCACCCCGTGGGGCGGGCGATCCATGGGTGGCGAACCCCGTGGCATGCTTTGCGCGGCTGCGGCCGATCTTATTGTCGCCGTGAGGGCTGGCGGTGGAGCACAACAGGCGAGCTGTCTTGTGCTTCAGGTTCTTTGTGGTGGGAGGTTCTGGAGTGGTTTCTCGGTGGGCTTCTGGTGTCTCTGTGTGGTTAGGGGGGGACACAGAACAATCCCCGGGATGGCCAAAACCATGTCTAGGGTCTAGGAAGCCCCTTGTGAGGGCGAGGACGAGAAGGGGGATGGCGATGAGGAGGATGGTGCCCCAATCTTCTTGCAACGTTCAGGGGGTTCGAAGTCCCTGCAGCTTGAAGTGAACTCAGTCCGCTGGGTTGCATGTCTGTCCCGATACTCCGCTTTGTTATGCCAGACTCGACCAAGGAGCTGAAGAGAGAGAAGCACGAGGCAGAGCTGAAGGCCGCAACCAAGCTGAAGGACGCACTCAAGCAGCTGAAGGACGCAATCAAGTAAGAAGGAAGCAGAGTTGAAAGTTCATGAGGTTTCCTGAGCAGGAGGGCGCTTTGCCACCGCCTGCGGATCCGAGAATTCGTCAACTGCCTTGCGCACAGGAACTGGACAAATACGTGGGAGGGCTGATGATCGGGGCTCACTTTCTCGACCAGTCGCGAATAATATGCCTCCGCGGCGGGACACGAGGCTTTCTTGCCTCGGCGTTCGCTTTGGTGCATTGACAGTGCCTCTCCGCCATCGTCGTGACCATCACCAACATCATCATCACCATCATCATCAGCATCATCACATTCATCCTCATTGACATTGTCATCATCATCATCCTCATCATCATCATCATCATCATCATCATCATCGTCGTCATCATCATCATCATCATCAACATGATCTGGCCTTTGTCACCGGCAAGTCGCCTCGTGCGGTGTTTGTTCGGTAGACACCAGCCAATTCGGATGGTTTTTAATGATGAGGAAGCCTTTTTACCTCCCTGTGCATGTTGTTCTTGGCACGCGTTGAGCATGTCGGCTAGGATGCGGTTGGCGTATTGGCTGCTAATTTGTATTCGTGCGATGGCTCCAACAAAACATGCCATCCCTATCTTCATCGGCAACATCAGCATGAAACGTATCATCACACTCTGCCGCCATTTTGCCGCGATAAGCTTTGGCTCAAGCCCTCTCCTCCAAAGGGTCCTCGCACGGGAAGTGTGCGTTGGTCCCTGGTGGTATCGAGATAGCAGCGCAGCCTGACATGGTACCCTGCGCTCTTTTCAGTCTTTCAGGCAGTTGTTGAGGAAGCTCGGTAGGGTTTGGGCAAACAGCTACCGCAACACCAGCCGAGATGAGGCAACCAGAACGAGCAGTGGTTGCAGAAGAGAAGGTACACCCCAGCAGGCACCGGGTGATGACGCTATCGCCGACGAGGGACATCATTCGTCATGTCGGAAATATCGCAGCGGTCAGACAAGCCGACCAGGCAATTAGGATATCCCGCTGACCAGTGTTCCAGCCTGGGTGCTCTTGGAAGCGATGCTGTTCAACCCATCTGCCAGAACCTCGAACTGCCGAGCACCAGCACCAAACAGGATGACCTCTCGGATGCACGGGCTCTGAAAGACCGCGAAGAGGAGACATCCACACGTGTACGTAATCGATACGTTGCTGGAGATACCAACGACATCGACGGCCATGAACAGACTCATCCAAAGTTACTTCGCACGCACTACATCGTTCACGCCAGCAGGGACTCGGAAGCTCCCGCGAACGGAGAAAAGACGCGGGCCGACCACGAGTCGATGGAGCTCAAACCGGAACAGTGCAAGGCTAGCGCGACGATGCGACAGGTTCGAGGTCTCTGGCACAAGGGAAGGACCGCAAGCACGCCCTGACGAAGAAGGCGGCATACCACTACATGATGAAGGCCAAGGTGGTCCAGTGACCGATCTGCACGCGCTTGCTCAGGCATGGCAAGGCAAGAAGGGCCCGCCTCGCTTTGGAAAGGGGTTTGTTCAACAGGGCGGAGGGCACTCCGCGAACCAGCCTTTGGGGACGAGCCGCTGTTCTCTCACTAGCTACTGTCTTGGTTTGTCTTTGCGTCGTCTGTTGTGCCAAGCTGTCCAGGGCATCCAGGATTTCGTCGGCAGTGAAGTCTTGTCGATCCCGGGGAGTGCCAATCGACTCGCCGCGTCTTCACCGGAGCTTTTGCTATCGGGGTGCCATAGTCGTAGCGTGTAGCTTTCCAAGCAGTTGTACCATGAGATCGTCAATTTTGTTTTTGGCCTCGCCCACCATATTTAGATATTTGGAGTCGGGCTTCACGGTCGGAGGCCCCTTACCTAAAGGCTTTCTGGCTTTAGCATTTTGCGCGCAAGACGCGGAGATGCAAAGGGCCGGTCGTTAGGCGTCAGATCTCGTAGTTTTGAAGTGTTCGGGCATAGTTGCCCAGCGCCCCACCCCGGTACCACATGATTGTTGTATCAGTCATCTGGGGCAACTTTGAGACCAGTTTGGGATCAGTTCGCAGTTCATTTAATATATGAACCATCTGCCAATCAATGCTCGCTTCTAGTTAGTAGCAGCTCCTTCTCTCTTTTTTCTCTGACCAGTGTTGACCTTGGTCTGCCGCCACAGCTGCCGAGTGTCTGCAATGGTGTGTGGGGAATGGTGCAGAACGTGAAAGATGAAGGGAGAGTGGGTGGTGCCGTGTGGAGGCGCCGTGGCCGCCTCCGTAGGCCCGCCTCTGACATGCTCCCAGCTGGGCCCAAGAAGGCGCCGCCTCTGTGCCCAACTAACGTTTACGGGGGTCCTTCCAATCCGGCTATGCCACTGGAGATCACAGTGCACGCTGCATGTCCCACTCGTTCCCCTTCCATCCCTGACGTCAGTTTCGCCCTTTCTCCATCCGTTCCAGGCCATCCCCACACGGCCAGGAACTGCGTCTCAGCGTGTCGCTCCGCTGCTCCTGGCCCACCATGCCTTAGCGCGACACGCTATCCACGGCCCAGTCACGGGCCCCCAAGCGTCAACGTCCCGCGCTTTTCCCCGCCTCCCGCCCCGCGGAGCGGAGAGACACGATATCCGTTTGCGGGGCACAGCGTGTCGCCGGAGCCCGCCGCAGCGACGCGCTGAGCAAAAGTTCCGGACCGTATCCTCCCGCTTCGACGTTCACCTTCCTAGCACTAAGTCGTTCCTGTCCCTCTACAGGGGGAATGTTCAAAAATAGTGGAAAATTGTCCGGGGACTATTTTCTGCATTTTTCGACAATTTTAACCATTTTACATTATTTTTTCATTTGTCCTCGAAAATTGCCCTGCAAGGGGACACGCCCGACTTAATCCTAGCACTGGCGGACGGGACAAGCGGACCGAGGTCCCCGCTCACCACCTCCCTAGCTCCCGTCCTCATCGTCGTAATCATATCTACCTTCGCCGTCCTCCTCATCCTCCCCCCCATCCAGAACAATATCGACTCCGAGCCCTGACTTTGCCCACGGTCCACGTTGGTCAGCCTTTCGATCTGAATTGATTCTCACGGTCCCCAGGCCTGAGCCAGGCCTGGACGCCAAAATGGAGGAACAATTTGCTGCGAGTTTTTTGTTGACTCTCTCCCTACGGCGCGTGCCACGTCCACAGAGTGACCACACACCAAGGCCGCACATTTTCGATGCAAAGTAGATAAGAACTGGGCCTGACTGCATGATCGACCGCTCGATCCTCCTCAGTTGTTTCATCTCCTTCTCCCTCTCCTCGTCCTCTTTGTCCTCCCGTTTCTCCGCCTGCTCTTCCTGGCCGTTTCCGCATATGCGGCGTGTGCATGGTGCCGTGAATTTCAGGACCGCGCTGCACAATCGAATTGTTGTCGGCAAATGTGACGCAAGCCGATAAGTCACTACAGCCTTCCAATACTTTTTAGAGAGAGTGGAAGCGTGGGCGCAGTTGTTGCGCTGAGAATCAAAACCATGGGCACAACTGCGCGCACCGCAATGCCCACTTCCCGCAGAGCAAACGTGGTCGACGTGGCCTTTGGTCCCTCTGTCGCAGGCGGCGTGGGCGTGACGATTCTCGTCGCTCGTCGCAGGATGGTTCGGTGGAGCGCCTGAGCGCAACACGATGCTGGCTGTGGAGGATTCGCAACCGACGGGCCTGCGGCCTCGACGCCCTCGAGCTGGATGGAGCCCCCGGCCTGGCAACAGAGCACTGGCGACGCGATCCTTGGCCGATCGTTGCGCCTTGCTCGACACGAGCCGGCCGAAGGCAGCGGCGCCTTTGCAGACGCAGGGCGGCCACATCTGCGGCAATCCCAATCAGAGGCAAAGTGCATCGAGCGTCCTGATGTCGTGCGCGACTGCATCTGTGTGTGGGGACAGATTGGCAGTGTCGCGCTTGCCTGCGTGGGAAGACAAGCGAGGATTGCCCGTCTCGAGGCTGTTGCTGGAGCCCGTACACGAAACACGGAGCTCACAGCACAAAAGAGCTCCCGTCGTGCCGTTCTTCTCTTTCCTCCGACTTCGCCCACCGACCCTAAGTGAGGTACTGTTTGACAGGGCTTCCGAAGTAGATCAAGCCGTGGCGACGAGGAACTTCACGGAGGTCCAAAAAGAGGAAAGTTCGCATCGAACCATCTCGAACCTGGACCCGTAATCTTCGATTCTCGTCCCCTCCCTCCTCGTCGTCCTTCCTCCCCGCTCGCTCCCTCCCTCGACCTCCCGCCCTTCTGTTCCCTTCTCCTCCTCCCGCCTTCTTCCTTCCTTCCCGACGGCAATGGGCAAGGAAAACCGCAGCGAGGAACTGCATGGCAAAAGGGAGACAGAGGAGAGGGAGTAGCTGGAGGAGGAGGAGGAGGAGGACGGCGATGAGGAGGATGAGGTGGAGGAGAAAGGGGGCGTTGCAGGCGCTGACCTGTCGCCCGTAGCACGACTGCGAGAGATGACAGGGTACCGCGGGCTCGCAGCCTGTCATCCTCCGCCGAAGCTTTCCCTGGACGCCCGCCTTCATGGTACTGCAAGAGCTGGCCAAGGTCTGTGAACACTGCCCCGTTCACTTCTCATCCTTCCCCTCCCTCCTCCTCCTCTTCCCTCCTCCTCTTCCTCCTCCTCTCTCTCCTCCTCCTCCTCCTCCACCTCCTCCTCCTCCTCCTCCTCCTCCTCCTCCTCCTCCTCCTCCTCTTCCCCCTTCTTGCTCGTCCCTCCTCCTCGTCATCCCGAGCTGGCGACTTCCTTGCCCGTCGAGTGTAGCGCTGCAGGACGGTATGGCTTAGTGACATTCCTTCGGTTGTTATTCCAGCGATGCTTCTCCTACCCTGCGTGTCAAACGCCTGGGCAGTTTGGCCTGTAGCTGCGCGCTGCAACAAACATAATTGCTCTTCGCCCCCCCTTCCTTCGTGACCCCTCCTCGCCTCAACCCATCCTCCTCGTCGTTCCATCCCCCCTCCTCTTCATCCCTCCTCGCCGCACCTCATACCGCCCTCGCCGCTGCCGCCTGTGGCTGTGCCTGCTTTTCTCTTCCGGGACCTCGTTCCCCTTTTCGGGCGCGCGCGAGGCCTGGAATTCTAGAGGGTCCTAGAACCCCGTCCTCCCCCTCGCCCCCTCATCGCTCCTCGCCTCGCCCTCGCTCCCTCCCCCTCCCCCCCTCGTCTCGTCCCCCTCGCCCCCTCGCCCCCTCGCTCCCTCCCCCTCGCCTCGTCCTCCTCCAGAATTACTCAATCTGAAAATACTCTCCCTCTTCCCCTGATGTTTCCGGGTGATGGCCGCGCATTCTCCGCGTATTGTTTTTTTACACAGGATGCCCGGGAAATCCCGGGAAACGACTCTCGCTGAGGCGCCGGCGTCATTTTCGGGCCGAACGCCCCCCGCGTACTGTTTTTTACACACAGGATTCCCGGGAAACGGGTTTTCGCTTGCGTTTTTTTTTTTAAGGATGCTCTCGCTGAGGCGCCGGCTCATTTCTGCTCCCGAATCGTTCCGAATCGTGCTCCCGCTGCAGCGTGGGCCTCATTTTCGGATCGGTGTTTGGCCTCCGTCGTTCAGGATGGCGTTCTCGCCCCAGCGCGGGCCTTTTTCTCGCGCGCCCATCCGCCCGCCACCACCGCGCCGCACCACCACCACCACCACCACCACCACCACCACCACCCACCACACCACCACCACCACACACCACACCCACCAGCACCAGCACCAGCACAGCACCAGCACCAGCAGCAGCACCACCACCACACCACCACCACCACACACCACCACACACGCACACACGCACACGCACGCACGCACGCGCACGCACGTGCACCACCACCCACTACGCACGCGCGCGCGGAGCCACAGGTCCGCTACGACACGCGTCCGCGGATAGAGAAAATCAGCGCCATGGTAAGGGATGGGAGGGAGGGGTAGGACGTCAGATATGGCGCGAGCGCACCTAGCTTGTCGCCTCCCCCTCGCCCCCTCCCTCTCTCGCCCCCCCATCGCTCCTCGGAGCCCCTCGCTCTCATCGCTCCTCGCCTCGCCCCGTCTTCCTCGTCCTGTCCCCCCCGCCTCGCCCTGCCGCCCGGCCCCCCCCTCTCCCCTCCCCCCCCTGCCGCGCGCAGGGGCCGCGGCGCCGCGCCGCGCCGCGCGCAGGGGCCGCGGCGCCGCGCCGCGCCGCGCGCGGCGCGGCCGCCGCGCGCCGGCTCGCCCGTAGGGCTCGGCGGCGCCAGACGCCCCGGCGGCGAGGAAGAGCGGGGCAGGGTGGGCCCTCGACTAGCCGTAGGATCGGGGGTGGACAGAACCCCCAATAGTGACACGTCGATTAGTGAATTGTCCGTTTTCGGTTCTCGAGAGGGCGCCGTGGCCGTTATTTTCCAGGCCTGCGCCCGCCAGGTTTGGGCCTCAGGTCGTTTTCACTAAACCACGTTTTAC